GGATGTTAACGTTCCATGACTTCTTGTTCAGCTAGCCAAACTTATGACTCAGCAAAGATGACAAACCAAGTCGGCCGCGCGTGAACAGGCCGTCCGACCGTTGTAGCATGCCCCATTCAAAGATGTCAAGATGCTGGTCCTACGGAAGCCACTTGCATTAGGTAAGGCGCTAGATAGTTTTGTAAAGCGAATAGCTCCTCAAGGTGTCAAGTAGAAGGAACTTACTTGGGCCTATTTGTTGGCTGTGCCTGTTGACAGGCAGAGAAGGCTCCTTGACGAGGCAGAGGATAGAACATGTCTTTCCCTATGACTAAGGAAATGTTTGATAGGATGATAAGGTTAGTACAGGAACATCTCTTTCCATCGATAGGAGTTGTGGTTCTTTCTTGTTTACCAAGCTTGACACCCATTGACCATCGTTGACGAGAACCACTGTACCTCTGACTTCTCTCCATTTCCTGATTTTTCCTTGATCCATGTTGATGCCGCATCTCCTCATATACCATTGAATATGTGGGAGAGTTGTCTCAGACCATCCCGCTCTCCTTGCTGGCTATTTGATGCTATTTGATGCTTTTTGATACTATTTGATGCTGTTTGCTGTTTGATGCTATGTGATGCTATTTGATGCTGTTGGATCCTGTTTGATGCTTTTTGATGCCGTTTGATGCTGTTTGATCCTGTTTGATGCTGCTTGATGCTGTTTGAGTTTGATGCTGTTTGATGCTGTTTGATGCTGATTGATGCTGTTTGATGCTTTTTGATGCTGTTTTTGATGCTGTTTCTGATGCTGTGTTTGATGCTGTGTTTGATGCTGTTTTTGATGCTGTTTTTGATGCTGTGTTTGATGCTGTGTTTGATGCTGTTTTTGATGCTGTTTTTGATGCTGTTTTTGATGCTGTGTTTGATGCTGTTTTTGATGCTGTGTTTGATTCTGTGTTTGATGCTGTTTTTGATGCTGTTTTTGATGCTGTGTTTGATTCTGTGTTTGATGCTGTTTTTGATGCTGTTTTTGATGCTGTGTTTGATTCTGTGTTTGATGCTTTTTTTGATGCTGTTTTTGATGCTGTGTTTGATTCTGTGTTTGATGCTTTTTTTGATGCTGTTTTTGATGCTGTGTTTGATTCTGTGTTTGATGCTGTTTTTGATGCTGTTTTTGATGCTGTGTTTGATTCTGTGTTTGATGCTGTTTTTGATGCTGTTTTTGATGCTGTGTTTGATTCTGTGTTTGATGCTGTTTTTGATGCTGTTTTTGATGCTGTGTTTGATTCTGTGTTTGATGCTGTTTTTGATGCTGTTTTTGATGCTGTGTTTGATTCTGTGTTTGATGCTGTTTTTGATGCTGTTTTTGATGCTGTGTTTGATCCTGTGTTTGATGCTGTTTTTGATGCTGTTTTTGATGCTGTGTTTGATTCTGTGTTTGATGCTGTTTTTGATGCTGTTTTTGATGCTGTGTTTGATTCTGTGTTTGATGCTGTTTTTGATGCTGTTTTTGGTGCTGTGTTTGATTCTGTGTTTGATGCTGTTTTTGATGCTGTTTTGATGCTGTGTTTGATTCTGTGTTTGATTCTGTTTTTGACGCTGTGTTTGATTCTGTGTTTGATGCTGTTTTTGATGCTGTTTTTGATGCTGTTTTTTTTTGCTGTGTTTGATTCTGTGTTTGATGCTGTTTTTGATGCTGTTTTTGATGCTGTTTTTGATGCTGTGTTTGATTCTGTGTTTGATGCTGTTTTTGATGCTGTTTTTGA